TCGAAAAGGTTTGTTCTCGTGAAATCGATGTTTTCCTTCTTGTGATTCGGCATTACACTACGTAAATGAGCATTCCCATTGTTTCCTACGGAAAAATTCCCGAATGTTGACTTGGCGATATTTTTCTGCTGTTCTCGGCTTTTACGAAAGCATGAATACCCATCAGTCTCTTCTGTCGAACCGCTTGCCTTTTTCGGTTCACTTAAAACGATTTTGCCATGGAAATGCTCTCCCGGTCGGTAGGAGTGCTGTTCTAACTTAGCTTAATTTATTGCTAAGCCAACTGTTGAGGTCAATAAAATTTCGCAATATATCTGGCAGAACCCAAGATGCACTTTTATCCTTTGATCCAGATGATGGTTCCCATTCCTTCGTTTAGGGTCGATTGGTGCAGCAGCAACGTCAAAAGATCATGGAGTTTTACGAGAAGAAAGAGAAGCAAGTGGAACTCCAAAGAAAGATTCAGTCTTCTAACTCTCTCAATGAAGGACGTCTTCTATGTCTCAAGGTATGCACCCAACAGTCCATAAAGAAGAGTACTTACTGAGCCGAATTTTTGAAGCTAAGACAACTGCCGAGTGTTTGGCCTTAATTCCTTTGCCAGTAATTCCATTTTGATTTCTGAACGCTTACCCTCGTCAAGCTCTTTATTAAAATGCTCGTTCCTTCTATCATTATCTGATTGTCACTGCCGTTTTCGCGTTGAATTGGGCTATGATTTGCATAGCGTTTTCCATATTTTTTATGCACATTCCTAAATATAGAAACGATTTAGGCGCGTGAAGACCACATTCGAAATGTTCTCGATGAAGCGCGCATGAATCTGTCAAAGATTTCCAATGATCAAGCACGATATCCCGCTATTCTTAAGGGACTCATCATGCAGGTACGTTTCTATTTTTGTTTTTGTGAATGTTTATGACGCAATAGGTTTTGATCCACATTTACTCTAGTTCAGTGGCACATAAAATTTGGAATTACATCGAGTTTATGGAAATACATGCTATTTTTCAGGCTCTGCTTCAAATGCTTGAGAAGGATGTTCTTCTTCGGTGTCGCGAAAGAGATCTCAACCTTGTCGAGAAACTTCTTCCTGAGTGTCTCGATGCTCTTGAGAGGGAATGGGGCGAGAAGACTACAGTAACTTTTACCTTTCTTTGTTTGCTTTTAGTCTTGTTTTCATCATTTTTGCTCAAGAGAAAGAGGAGTGCCTGAATTATTATTCTGACGATCTTCGGTCTTTCATTCGTGGCCACAAAGAAATATTTATCAAGTATGATGGTTTACATTTTGTACAAACAGGAAATTCAGCATCCAGTTTCGTGATTTCCTCGCTCAAAAATTATGGCTATAGTCTCAAACTTGCTTTCCAGAGCATGTAAGGAACTTTTACAGAGTGCTGCAGAGTTGAATGCTGCTGTCGTCTACTATTGTTGATCTTTGGCTAGCAGTTTCTATCTGATCATGTTACCTTTTTATGCATTCTCTCTAACCATACATCTCTCATTCTGAGCTTCTGAATAAAACGGGAACTTCTGAGATCATCATGAGAGGATAAAACCTATTCTTACATAAAAAAAAGTCTAGATGACTCCAATCCTTCACGTTCTTCACACCTTTTTTCATGCATGTTTCCTGGTGATCTTTTGTCAATCTTTTTTTCTCCTGTTGCGGCGCCTTTGCCCCAGGAAACCTTGAAAAGGTAGATGGTTGAAGTAGACGGTAATTCTAATTAAACGCATATTACCAGAGTAATTTACCTACTCATTTGAGTCGTCCTTTAGATTATTTTTTGACGGTAGCAGTGCTGCTTATTCTTCACATTTTTAAAGCGGTCAGTAGCCTGGAGATCGCCTATTTCTTTTTTACAGTTGATGCCTCTACTTATCGATAATTATGGCCTTACCCTCACTACTCACTTTTTGCAACTTTCCATATTTTAATTTCAAGCATATTTATATGCTTACCGCACATGTAACGTTAAGGTTCGCTCCAGGTCTTCAGAATTATGTTGCATTCTAGAGGAATTAGAATTTATTGAAGTGTAGAATTTCGAAACGTTCTCTTTACCCGCAGCCCTCCTCAAAAAAAAAAAAAACTGAAACTAACTGTTCATACGAGAAGGTTCAGTGTTGCATATAAATGGTTCTTTATCATTCAGAAATTTAGTTTTTTCATAGTTCGGGTCATCTTCCTGTAGGTTCAGTTATTTATTTTATGTGACCTTTTATTCTCGCAATTTCAGGTGAAAATCGACAAGGATTTCCTGCCACCAGAGGCCGCTGGCGGTGTAGAACTTTCCGCGAAGGGAGGTAAAATTAGAGTATCTTCTACTCTGGAGAGCCGTTTGGAGTTGATTGCTAGTCAGGTCAGTATTTCAGCATTGAAGTAGTGTTGTACACACTGGGTCGTCTCTAAGGTTCTTGATATTTTCAAGCATTACCATATCTTCCTATGCTACTCTTGAATCCGAATGCACCCTGTATCAGACTAGCATATCTCTTTTTTTGGTGCGAAACATTTATGTCAATAATGGCTGGGAACCGCTGAACGTTCGTTTTTCCCACCTTGAACACACGCATGGTTCGTGGTTCGGTTCCAGGGTTGATATCCGCCGAGCCCAACAAAGCCATCCATCCCTCCAGGGTCGATCCATTGGTTATACTTGCTGGGAGGATGAAAACACAGATTTATTTATCGGCTGACCACCACAGGTCATTGTATAGGCCAAGTACGAGTTCACCTCTCACTACAATTCTAAATGAATGTTGAATGCGGTGGCACATCCCTTAAACGGCGTTGGTTAAGCCGAAGACTTTGTTTTCATCCTAATATTCGGGGTGATGGGCACATTGTTGATAAGAATAATCACATTTACCGCGCCTGAGATCCGTCGAATAAGATGGATTTTCTCGAGAAAAAATGCGAACTATGGTATATTTGAAGGACATGATGATACCACTGTCATCCTTTCAATCTTTTGATAATTTTTTTTCTCGCGTCATTATCATTGACAATGTTTCTCCTCGTAAAATGATAGTGCTTTTTTGAAGAGTAGTCTACCCATTTTTTAAACATTTTTCAAAAACTTCTCTATTCCGCAGGAAAACAGTCATTCTGCAGTATAGCTTATTTTAAGAGTTTGACTAGCTGTAGGAGCTTAGGGAGACCTTTTCACCTTGAGTTTCAAATTTTAGGATGATACTAGCAGTTATCATGTATAATATTTAATGAGATTTTCCAGATTGTTCCACAAATTCGAACTGCCTTGTTCGGCCCCAACTTGAACAGAAAGTTCTTCGATTAATCGTACAGTTTTATCTAACTTGAACGCTAAAATGGACCTGTTTTATTCTTTCTTAACTATGAATCAATTTCTCATACATGGCATGTTTCGTTCGTGCTGTTTTTGTTTAGATGTAGCTGAATACTGTGTAGGTCTACAGTCTACGTTAGTCTCGAGTCTCTACCGCTAGAGACCCGTTTTATTTCCGCCAACCATTCCATGATTGTGCTTGTATGTGATAGAATCCAGTGTTAATCGAACTCGGAAAAAAATGCGACAATTTGGTCATCACTTAGATTTGTATAGGCAATTTTGTATTTGAAACACTGTCTTTGCGTGTTAAAGAAAATTATTTTGTATCTCAAAAATTTCGATAAATATTTGTACGCATCAATTTTTCTTGAAAACAAGGGTTAGAATGGACCTTATACGATTGCCTCAAAAGAATCGATGGTGTGACCGTGAAAAAGGTTGTGAAGGATGTGATGAAAACCACACAGAACTGTTGAGGTTGGTTGGGAGTGCCTACTTTTTATCGCTGATTGTATTCCGTTGACAACCGTCATTATACAGGGGTCCTAAAATTAGGGGGGAAATACATAGTTGATTAATTTCACTTCATTCGTCTATAATTAATTGTACAATTAGGTCTTTCAGCAATCTCGAAAGTTACCATGGTAAGGCTTCTGATCTCTTTGACACGGTGAAGGCTTACCCCATGCGACCTGCATGCATGCGCGATGCAAGAGCCTTAACGGAGGACAAACTTCTTAAAATTCCAATAAGGGAAGACCATGAAACGTCACAGAGAGGCAGGATCAGCCAAAGATGGGACCGGTGTTCCTAAGAATCAAGCTGTTGGACCAGTCTTTTCGCGAGTCAGTCGTTATCCTCATCGATCCATCTGAGGAAGTATGGTATGGGAGCTGGAGGTATCGAATTGCTATTCCTATCGTATGCAGAATGCCGCCGTGAAAACAGGCAGCAAAGGGTCAAGAGATGTTAAATGTGCTGGCCCGTTTCAGTGAAGATGCGTATTCGCATGACTTCTACGTGTGGTTCCTAATTGAGAAGAGAAAGTGTCGAGTTTGCGATCCTAGTATAAGTTCTTAAAAGCTGGACCGAGAACACCTGGGAAGAAGTGAAGGAGGGATACCTAAGTGCTTGTGAGGAATTCAATTAGGCCTCGGGCTTGTATTCATGCTCAATAGTCCCCCTCAACCTCAACTTCAGAGCTCAAATCAAATTTCAAAATGTAAGCGCTCAAAGTTGCGCAAAATTTAATGGGAAAACGTTCCCATGACTTGACATAGTATCTTTCTCAACTAAATAGTTAACTACCGCGTGAAATCGAAGAGGCAAAGTATTCTCGCTTGCGTAGTGATGATTTCTTGTTGGTTTCGCTTCTCCATTGTCGCTCGGACTCGTTCCTGATCGGAACAATTCCAACAAGCTCGTTTACCATATTCTGCTGTGAAATAAACGTTCATGCTTGATCTGATTCTGTGCTTCAGATTAGAGGTCGTAATGTTGCTGGGATCATCAAGAAATTATGCGTCTAAAACGAAAGTTGCGAAGAAAGTCGCTGCTGTGATGAAGAAAAAGGTTCGAAGAGTTCTTAATCGAGGAAACCAACAGTGAGACTTCTGTTTATGAGCATTTTTTTTAGGTGAAGAGTGCAGTGTATGGTTGCGGATTGTCGGCATCCGGTGCGCTCGCTATACCGCAGATGGTTGTAAGTGACTATGTCACATCAAGAGAAGTTCATAAACCGCGACGAATTACTCATATGAATACTCGTGGAATCAAGTACATTGCCGCTGGATTTGGTTTTTCTTTATTCGCCTCTAAAGAGAAACTTTTCGGTTCGGGTCTGAACAACAAGTAAGTCTTTGACGTCGACTTTTTAAAGTTGATTTTATCGATATCTCAGGATTGTTACCTTGGAATTTTCATTACAAACAGTTCTTTATGGTGTGTTGGGTAGTACGTTCTGCAAAACTTAGTGAATCATTTTCTTCAAGAGCTCCTCCTCGTCCACTGGCTGATCGTGGTCCACGTTGCCAGTTTAGGGCTGCCAGTGCAGAGTAGCGTTTTTATTCTATCCAAGCTCTAGCAGGAATTTCTCACATCAGTGAAGTACAGTGCAAACAGAACATTCTAGTTCTGCTGTCTGATTCGCTGAGACAGCCCTGCATAGATCTTCTAATGGTTGTCATGACATGAAGTATTTTTTGTATTTTCCAGGTTCCAAATCACCAGCCATGTTCGAGATACGGGCATCAAACTTCAGGAGTATTATATCAGCGCAAAACGGATCCAACTTCCTCCAAGCAAGTGACTAGGTTAGAGAAAAACTCCATCCATAAAATGTAATGGTAGACTTTTAGAAACCACAATCTTGTCGATTTCGTCAGGTCGAGCACATTCTTTAGTTGCCACAACATCTGGTGTATACGCATTTGGAGACAACGCTCTCGGACAGTGTGCACAGGATCCTGAGAAGCACAAGGAAGTTCATGGAGTAAGTAGATTTTCTTTATCACCCAGGTTAGTATTCACTAAAATACTTCAGTTGAGGGACTCGCCGTTGCCTCTCGTTGAGATTCCCAGCGATTCACCGGCAATTGCTGTGCACTGCTCACTTGACACTTCATTCGTCCTCACGAAAAGCGGTGAAGTCTTCGCGTTTGGTTTGAATGAGGATGGACAGTGTGCGAATCATTCGTATGGCGTTCAGTGGAAGCCTACGAAAATTCTAGGTCTGTGTTTCCCTTTCATTTTCTTCACAACTTTCCTCGAACGATTTCGTTTCAAATTTTAATCTCTTTTTTGTTTCATTTCCGCATTTCTGTATGCTTGTTTACTTCTTGACCGGGTTGATCCGATCAGCTTACATTTCAAATGAAGTCAGCTATGGTGTCCTATTCACCCTTCCGAGTAATTTGTTAGATTAGATTAGGAGTGTACATTCCGAAAGGAATCAACCAGATTTCATGGAGCTTTGGTGAATGACATTACCAAAATCAACTTGTCCTATACGAATTTTGCGTTTCGTTTTAAAATTCGTGGCCTTCTGCAAAGGAACATTGTATCAAAGGAGCAGCTCCATGTTTTCTTTTTCTTAGTTAATATCGCTTACATTTACTGGCCCTTCCCTTGATAAATTGCAATTGCAGGTAAATAAAGTGCACTACTGCGATAGTGAGAGCTTCTTAGACCGTTGCGCATTCGCATTTGAAAAAAGCAGTCGATTCGCCAAACAACAGGGCGGTCCCCATTCCCCGACTCTCTACCATTTGGAAACCTGATTACGTGCGATGACGTTGCTTCCATGTGGTTGCTGAGCAACCATCTTGAATATTGTTTTTCTTATAATCTTCTCGCCGCTTCACTCGAAGGCATAAAACCCTTTAAACTTTTCGACGCTCAGTTTCTCATTCATAGGCTCTATGTTTTAGGTGATGCTGCTGACGAAAAGATAACGTCGATATCGGGCAGTTCAGATACAATAGTGGCATTATCTGAAAAGGGCGAGCTTTTCTTGTGGGGCCAGTGCGAGTATGGGCAAGCTGTATTAGGTTCGGGCGATGTTCAAGTAAGGGATAGTATCCGCGTTTCGTATTTCTTCTCCAGAATTATTATTTCATTTGTTTAGTTGAATTTGTCCCGGTACATTCCATTTCCACCCGGAAAAATCTTATCAGTTGGATCAACAGCTAGCTCCTGTATTGCGAACACAGAAAGCGGAGAGGTAAACATTCAATGTTGCGTTATTTTGTGACGTTGTCGTCGACGTTGAGTTGTTTAGCTATTCTCCATGCTATCTCTGAGTAAGGCATACTAGTCCCACTATTTTAGGTTTATGTTTGGGGTGTTGGTCTGATTGGTCTCGGCCCAAACATGCAGAAACTAGATCGCCCCACGTTGATGGATGCGCCACTTTTTGGGAATGACAAGGTAGAGTCTGACGTTTCGAACGGGGTATTCATCATCTAGTTAAGTAGACCAAGCTAATTGCTCGAACTTATAGGTCCTTAAAGTATTCGCAGGCAACACCTCATGTGGTGCAATCAATTCAAATGGCCGTCTTTTCATGTGGGGTCAAAATAGGTGAGTCAGATTGATTGGTTTTTTCTCACTTCGGGTATTTGCTTGGGGATTATGCCTTAGATGTTAGATAAAGGTGTATTCGGTATTGGTATGATAGTTGATATTAGGTGAATTTCTTTGGCTACTAGCCGACTTTTATACTTTTCAAACAAGCGGTGATTGTCCCATGAATTGATCCACGCCTTGTGCCTTGAGGCTGCAGGGATTGGCTCGATTCTGTTTTGATAAGGTGTAGATACAGGGTATCTTACGGAGCTTTATTATTGTAATTATCTCAATATTGGTACTCATTGTATTTGTTACGAAACCCATGTATTTGTTATGTCTTCCGATCAATATGTTTCGCAATTACTTATCTGTTTCTCATGTCCATCTTAGGATCTATCTCGAAAGTGTTACTGTATCCTACAGTACTGCCACTATATAAGGCGGTGAATCCGCCCATATCGCTCATATCCGTCTTCTCCTAACTGCCAAGTAGCAGATCTTATTTTTCGTTATTCTGTGACAAAGTCTCCATTTGTACTTCATCCCCTAGACAACCTCTACCTTATTTAATCCGAAGGCATTTTAGATTTGGTTTACTTGGACTGGAACATGGAAACGACCAATACTTCCCACTCGAAGTTTTCTTTCCATATGATGTAAAACAAATTTCTCTCGGACCAGACCATTCTTTATTCCTGATGAGATGAACAAGTGTCTCTATAACTCTATGCCTGATATAAGAGACCTCTTGAGGTCAAGGCCTTATAGCCTTTTTCACTCATTGTTGATTTTTTGCCTTTTTTTTCAGAGCTGCTATCACCTAGGGTGGCAGTTCGGTAGATCAGAAATTTTCTTGTTGGCTACTGAGTTTGAGCTAGGCTCTCGACTATGTGCTTGTATATCTTGCGATTCACATTCATATTGTTTGTTGTTTACTTGGTCTCAGTCGCCTTTCTTTCAAGTGATAGAGAGCTACCTTGTTATAGGTTTATTACATTGCATTAGTATTTGAATATTTCGTTGTGCTGCCTAAGCCAAATAAGATTTAGATTAGAGAACTTTTGTGGCTTCCATTGCACCAGGTGACTAAACCTAATACCGATAGCTCTAAGGTTGTGTACTTATGAGACTAGTTTTCTTTTCTCCTTTTCCCAGCGCTGCAGCATGCGCCGGGAGGGCACAGAGTCTGCTGCCTGATATATTTTTTGTTCATGTGAATATGGTGTAGGGTGCGAACTCTGTTCTTTGACTATTTCCGGCAATTTTGTGAGGCTTTAGGAGTTGGAAATTAGAGATGTCGACTCGAATATATGAAAGGGAGAAGTGGACCGATGTGAATAGCTGTCAGTTCAGAATTCAAAAAAATACAAGCTAAACTTGCCGATTTCACAAGTTACCCTTTTTTCCGGTTTGGAGGCTGAGAAGTGGCGCCGCTACCACACACATGATACAGGAATTAAGTACCAAATCGATATTAGCGCAAGTTGACGAGCTCTTCATCCCTCCTGAGTTGTTAATTGGTAGCATTTTGTTTAGAAAGATATACTGAACGATAGACAAAGCATAGGTTCATGGTAAAGTTGATCTACGGTAGCCACTGAGACAAATGTTACTTCAGTTATGGTCCCAAATGGTATACAAATACGTGGCGCATACCAGAGAAACTAACCAGCGATACGAACTTCTCCTTTTTTCATTTCACTCATCGAAAACCTGGTCCAGTCCGCAATTCGCTTAGCACCCTTCGCGTGTTCCGAAAGCTAAGGATCCAAGGGAATGAGGAATTAAGGTGGAATACAAATAAATGGTTTCGAGTGGGTGTCGCTAGCGTTGCAGGGGATGAGGATACGGTAGTGAACAATCTGGGCCATTTATGTTCTTCAGGTTCCCTAGAGGACTTGTGAGTATGCAAAATTTGGAATATCGGAAAGACATCGGTCGAAAACAGTTCGATTAAGCAGGGTGTTTTGGAAAGGGGCAGGCTTTGCAAGGGGAGCCGTGTCAATAATTTCGGACGCAGCCATCTAAATTTCACTTTTTATCCGAACAGAAAATTCCCAGTTTACAATTTGTGCTGCTCAACGGCTGAAAATACTTGTAGGATGCCTTATAATTTGGTAACAATCTCAACAATCACAGCAATATCTNCAATTGAAGAAGGGAACAGGGAGTAAAAAAGACTACTTTGATTGCAATGGGAGCCGTGTCAATAATTTCGGACGCAGCCATCTAAATTTCACTTTTTATCCGAACAGAAAATTCCCAGTTTACAATTTGTGCTGCTTAACGGCTGAAAATACTTGTAGGATGCCTTATAATGTGGTAATAATCTCAACAATCACAGCAATATCTCTTCCTCGGCTAGATGCCTACTTAACAGCCGTTTTTTTTAGTGAGAATAGCATTTGCGTAAAGAACAAAGAGAATAAAGATTATACCACCAGATGTCAGAAGTTGTGCGTGCGGCTGGTCTCGTGGTATTCCGAAAGATAACGAATCGCGTGGAGTTTCTGCTTCTCCAAGCAAGTTATCCTCCTTATCACTGGACTCCCCCGAAAGGTGGGACCTTTTTTCTGCAAAAGAAATGTCATACTCTTACTTAAAAACAGTGCTTATGTGCTAGGTCATGTCGATCCTGGCGAGGATGAATGGGTGGCAGCCCTACGTGAAACGAAGGAAGAAGCTGGAATTTTGCAAGATCAACTGAAAATCTATGAGGATTGCCATGAAACCCTTAGATATGATGTGAGTAGTCCTGAACCTTTCATTTAATTCAAAACAGAAATTTCTTTTTATTGATTACATTCTGACTTCTGGTTATGAATTCGTTATCCGTTTCTGATCCTAAAATCCTGTCTACATGCTGCATCCGTCGAGATGTCTTCGATCCATCCCAATGACCAAGATACGCCACGCGCTTAATTTAAGTTTGACCCATTCGAGTGTTTGCTCACACCGTATAGCTGGTACCAATGCACAATGGGTCTCGTGACTGTGAGTATTTTCCTCGGAAATTTGTTTCCCACAGAGCAGACCTAGTTGGCAATTACCGTAATTACGCACTGAATATTCAAGTGTGACCCTTACATTGCGAGCTCCGGCCCACGGAAGACGCTGTTCTCCGTTCGAAAACGAGATCATACAACCGAGTGTCTGTAGCCTTTGTACTCACTACATAGTCTTTCATGAGTAACTTAGTGGTTGAAAAGTGAAATAGATGAACTTGATATGTACCCTGGCTGTCGAGAGTTTCTCTCAACTTTTAGGTGAAAGGAAAGCCTAAGACGGTGAAATACTGGCTGGCACTACTGAAAAATCCGGATGATGTAAAACTCTCACATGAGCACCAAACATGGAAGTGGGCTGAACTTGACGAAGCCGTGAAAATAGCCGATTATGCGGAAATGGGAGCTTTGCTGCGGAAGTTCAAAGCATATGTGGATAATATGAAGTCATAGTTGTGGATTTGTATTTTTAATATGTTCCTATTACTTAAGATTTTGATTTTTCTTTTGTTTTTTGATCTGATGTTGATGTCTCGAGACTCATTGTGTGTGAAAATATGAAGAGATTTTAATCTGAAGTACGGTAGCCAAACATAAGTGCAATCCTTACAGTTTGTGTAGTTACCATGTGTGATATATAGCAAAGCGAAAATTCTGTATGGGAACACGCTGGTCAACCTATCTCGAAGTGGACGGGAGGGGGGCTCTGTTTTTGGCGGTAGCCCCGAATCGCCTCCCAGATGCTTCCCAGTCACTCAAGCAAGCTTTTGGCTGATACAGGATACCAACTGCACCCGCAGACTCTCCACACACGTATGCGTGGATACACCCGCGAGAAACAGAGAGTATAACGATCAGCACAGCAGAAACAGTGAGTCCATCCCCTTAATTTCACCTGCGTTTCTGGGCGACTTTTGGTCGGCGATTAACTCCCTATCCTTCACCTGGAGCGCCCTACGTAGCCTCGTCGCTAACCGGCTGGGATCCTTCAATAAGAGGGAACCCTCAGTGAGGGAGATCCGTAGCAGTTAAGATATGGCCAAACTAAAGTAATAGATGAACGATATGCCATACCTATCCCGAGATTCAGGTCACAGCTACGACAGTTCAAAATACACCAAATTGGTGTATTTTGAAGTTCCTTAGGGAAACTCTTTCTTTCTAAGTTTGGTATGAACCTATTTCACAATCCTTGAAGTACTTCATAAGAATTGGGCAGCTTCTAGAAGTAGTCTAAGAGAGATGTTCTACGTTTGTTGAACCGAAGCTAGTTTGGTTTAAAGGTCCTGTTCTTGCCACCTTGAGACTTTTTATGTTCCGTTCCAAAACATTGCTGCAGATTCCACGTACGGGTTTCTATGTACGGTTTATGCTTTAGCTTGATATGATTGTGGGTTCAACTCTCACGAGGTTGTTGTAAGATCTACTGGCTGACGTTTCTGCAATATCGCCTTCCTCAGAGCCTTAGAAGACCAAAACAATCTGTGCATATCCGATCAAACACCTCTGCAGCCCTACTGGAGTTCCAGACCCTCCGGGGCACGTACGTAATCTAGAAAGGGAGCTATTCACCGTGACTTCGTAGGGTCCGAAATCCGGATAGATATCCAACTAGGCCAACTAAATCTTCTATCGCACCAGAGTTTGTTAAATGGTAGCAGACTAACCTGCATTTTAGAATTCAGCCCTGACCTCAACACCGCTGCCCACCACAACTCATGAAATTTTACCGAAATAAAGACTGAGGACCAGTCAATCTCACAGAAGAAGAAGACCATCGGAAAGTAGAAGAATTAGCAGCAAACGGTGAAAAGAACTTTCAGTTAATTACCTTTAGAAACTATGGCAAAAAGTTAGTTATGAATAAAACTGAATCAAGCAGACCACCGTAACTTTTGATTGACCATAGTGTTGTGAATTTTCACAGTCCACGTCCTTCATGTAAGGTTTCAGAGCTATAATACTTAGTTGTTTACGTTCCTTGTTTGACGGAAGTCTATAGCTTCACCTTGAAAGCTATCATCCACTTGGCCACTTCCTCCATAACTCCTACGTCCCGTTAGCGGGATCCACTTCTATCACTTTCTACAAACTACCGCCAGTGTCATAATCCTGCTGCACCTACATATTCATGCCAAATTTGGACGCTCTAGGTCTAAATTAGCTGAAAATTTCTCGCAGGCCCTCCTTAGCGAATTTTATAAGTAGAATAACTTTTTGTTGTACATTTGGATATTGTAGGTTGTGTCACAAGGCAAATAAAAACTTCATTGGCTTTAGCTTTAAAAAACTATTGGCTGTTGAACACTAGAAATTCGTAAATCGAGAATCCTGAATCGTATCTCATAAGAAGCTTAGACCGACTTTTACTCTTTTGCAAAAATTTGTGATCAGTCGAAAACAACTTGGTTCAAAAAAGCGGTGGCGATTTATTCATATCCGATCTGCCCTACCCTGTATGGGCAAGTAGCGCAACTCTTACAGTCATGGAGTATTCAAGTTTCGGATCAACAGGGGTTTGATATCACTCCCTGCTATATTTTTCAGGTCAGGGGCGTTTGCTCTCATGACGCACTGATTTATGGAATCGCTGAACTCCATTGTACAGGGTGCGTTGTGGATATAGATTGTCTCAAAAGTACGAACCGAAGGACTGGCCATAAGAACATGGGGGGCGGGGGCACGTTTCTAGATTTGAATTACCGTGAGTAACTCATGAAGAAAGATTCATGAATCATGTTCGCAATTGTTCAAATTGATGATCGCCGTTTCCCAGGCTGACAACTTACACCAATGGAGTCGCACGTCGCGGTTCTTATGGGAAATCGCGATATTCCATTCAATTTCCTTTTGATGTACCAAGGACTGCTGTGGTGGTTGTTCATTGGCCTTCTAGTTAAACCGTCTATTCACTTCTGTGACGCTTTCTGCTTTCCATCAAGGCCACAGGACAAACTTTCTCTTTCCAAAGCTCATTTACCCCTTACGTCACGATGTCACATGTCTCATGATATTCCAAATGGGCTGTTACGTGACCTTTGAGAGTTCATTGGTGTGCGATGTCGGCTTTTTCTGAACAATGACAATCATCAATTTGAACATTTGCAAACATTTGATTCGTTCGTTCGCTGAATTTGTCTTCTTCAGTTCACACCTTGAAACCTACCTATCTGTTCATAAATAATGTTTATATACTCATTTTAGCTGTTAACGCATCTCTTGAAACCCCTTCGTAACCCCTCTCAACACCTCACATTTTCCAGAATTGACAATGAACGACTTTCAATAAATCTTGGCATCGTGTGAGTCTCGAATATTTCCGATTTCTTCATACCTTTCCAACCTTAGATAGTATTCTGTCTGTTCATAGCAAGTTATCCTCGAAAGAGGTAAATCCTTGAAGTCTAATTGTAAGAAGCACATTCTTAGATCTTAGAAAAGCGAGCCTTCCTGGTAACCCTCCTGATGTGCTCAGAGGCACATACCAATCAAAACCGTAGTACTGGAGTGTATCAAAGAGAATTTATTTATTTAAAAATTGTCAGGAGAAGGAATTTAACAAGCAACCGTGAGATCTGGTAGAGCCGTGTACACTTGAAGATTATTAGGAGAAGGGTATGGGCCATATTGGTGGCTACAGAATTTTTTCACTAAGTAGATTACCTGCAAATGGGCCTACCAAGGGCTTTGTTTTGTTTTTTGATCAGCTCATTGATGATTTGCCTTTTACCCAGTGTCTATGTTTATAGCACAACCGGTAGGCGTGAGTATGTGTAGGGTGGTTACGGCTCCCAACAACACACCACGCAGCGAGGCGACTAACCTAAAGGCACAGTTCACCATAATTCCCTGTTGCTGGCTCGCGGGGCTTTCCCGCCCCACGATCAATGTCATGTCACACGAGTGTCGAGGCGATGTTCGCTCCAGGACCCACACACAAACAGCTGACCAAACAAACACTGACAAACAGCCTAGTAATAAGGCGATGATTTACTCATATTATTTTGTTCTCTATTATTCTTTTTGTGTTGCGATCCCTAATGCAATTTTCAACAAGAAGAGGATGAAAAAGGTCGGCTATGTTTGCTGTTACTAGGGTTATTTGTTAGCTTTGCTGATGAGTGAATGAATTTTCGCCTGCCACAGGCAGTTATTCGCACCAGGACCGACACGTACGCAATGACCCACATTGTGTAGCCCGTCTAAACGCCCCACTCTTCTTCATCCTTCTGGTCTCATTCTCGTCCAGCTTACTTTTTAACGGTTTTTCGAAGCCTTTTTTTCACTTTAGAAACACCGATTGACGCAGTTTCCTCGCCTTTATCGCACTATTTTCAATCTTATCTTCCATTTTTCGTCATAATCTGGATTACCCAAAATTATAGTGAACGGTGCCTTTAAACACCCATTAACCGCAAGTCGATGTATGTGACGAGACATCTGACTAGAATTGCCCTGTTGTGGAGGGGATCATGTCTAAAGTTGGACATCTTGTCTGATCCCGGTGTTACAGTAGTCTCGGAAGATCTTCTGTGCGATACTCTTACCCCACTTCTTGTTCTAACGAACCTCATCAGTGTTGCCATATATGTTTGGGAAGTCGCCCTAGTCAGGGCCTGCTGATGAGCGAAATCAACGCAGAGAAGAGTTTTCGAAGCTATAGGGCTGTAGCTGATTGTACACAGATGTCAGTTTGGGTGGTCGATTTAATGCCCGGGCGACTTATTGTTAGATCAAAGTTCTGATGAAGGCGGACTTGCCCAAGGGTCGGCCCTATAAAGTTTGAAATCTGGGAAAGGCTGAAAGCAAGCATTTATACAGTTTTGAAGCTGTTTCAAGTTAGCATTGAACATTAAATGTTTAAAGAGACAATTCACGATAATTTTGAGTGCCCTTTTCAAGTTGAAAAGCGAAAGTGTTGAGGTAGAGGAGTTCAGTGGTGGCGGAGGAAGCGAGAAAATCCGACTACTTCGAGGTTTTTTAAAAGTAGCGGAAGTCGAGGTTAGAGGTTGTACGAGACCGTAGTGACGGTAATGGCATACAAGTGGTGTTTGGACTAGATTTAACTTATTCCCATATTTTAGATGACTTCATCAGGCCGAGATTGTCCGAAATGCCTTTCACTATCGCCATGGGTTATGACAAGAAGTTCAAACTTCCTACATGAGAGTCTCTTGAGATAGTGCAGCCTCTATAAAGCCGTTTAACTCGTCCACTGTGGGTGTGGCATTTACACAATACAATCTCTGGCCCCTCATTATGCTCTATTCAGGGAGTATTCGACCTCATAACATCAGGTATGGTACAAGGGATAGCCTCAAATCCATACAATAAGGAAAGCTCAGGAACCATTCTTATCGTGTACTTTGCCTTTAAATGAGAGTTGAGGCAGAGAATTTGAGAAAGGAGCCATCCGTAAGCGAAATTCCCGTTCTTCTACACAGAAAAGGTAC